ATGATTTTATACCAATAAGTTTGGTTGGGTGCATATATAAATTAATTGTTAAGGTGTTGGCTAAAAGATTGGCAAATGTGCTGGGTGAGTTAATTGGTGGTTGTCAACATGATTTTGTGGGTGGCAGACAAATCATTGATGCAATGATGGTTGCAAATGAAACTGTTGATGACTTGTTATTCGGTAAACGGGAGGGCTTGGTGTGCAAATTAAATATGGAAAAAACATATGATAATGTAAATTAGAATTTTGTAGATTACATGCTTGGAAGAATGAGTTTTGGGCCGTAATGGAGGAAATGGATGAAGTCATGTGTGACTACAACTTCTTTTGCTGTGTTGATTAATGGGGGTCCCTCTGCTTTCTTTAACGCTTCGAAGGGCTTGAGGCAAGGGAATCCAATTTCTCCACTGCCCTTTATAATGGTGATGAAATCTCTTAATGGCTTATTAAGGAGAGCTACTGATCTGCATTTGCTAAAGGATGTTTCGGTGGGGCATGGGAAAAACAGAATTGTGGTCTCCCATCTTTTCTTTGCGGATGACATTTTAATTTTCTGCAAGCCTGATTTGAAGAATCTGCTATATTTAAAATGTGTCTTGCTGTGTTTTCAAGTGGTTACGGGACTCAAGATATAACAAGTCCAAACTTGCAAGAATTGGGAGAAATGGTGATGCTGGGTCTTTTGCGAAATTCTGGGGTGTAAAGAGGTAAAATTCCCTTTCAATTATCTTGGTGTTTCACGAGGGGCTAAATACAAAGACCAACTAACTTGGGAACTAGTTATTGAGTTATTCGAAAAAAGACTTGTGGGATGGAAAAGAGGTTTCTTATCAAAAGGTGGGAGATATATTTTAATTAAGAGCACCTTGGCTAATTTAGCGATCTTCTATCTATCCACTATCACTCTTCTGGTAAAGGTTGCCAAAAAAATGGAGTCTATTCATCTCAAATTTCTATTGGGTGATGGGGATGACAATCGAAAATATCATTTGGGAAATTGGGGCAGACTTTAAGTGCCCTATCAATTCTGGGGGTTTGAGGATTCAGTCTTTGGTGCTATACC